CTACTTTATCGTGGTTTATCATCAAAACAGCCACTCAGCCTAAATGCCTGGACACCGCAGCTGATCTGAGAAGCTTAAAGGAACTTTGTCAATCCGATTTTTAAGCTGCCTAAAGTTAGTAGAACTGGGAAAAACCTTCTAGTGTAGATTGTTCCAGAATCTCTATACCATAGGGACAAAGGAGCAGTCGCATCGGCCAGTTCTGGATGTACGAAGTTCGACACGGTTAGGATGAGAGGCTGAAGTCAGGCGAGTATGTCTGGCAGGCACATCGAGGTATAGAACTTTAAGTTGGCATTACTTTTGAAGATGGCGACCGCTGTCAAGTGATTTATTCTCAGTTTGGTTTGGCAATTCATCATGAATAGACTCAGGACTGAACAAAGCTTGCAAATTGTACAGATTTATTTCGAAAATAATGGTTCTGTGCGGAATACGGATAGCGCACTACGTCCATTTTATCGTCGACAAAATCGTCCATCCAGAGCAGTTAATTCAATTAACCGTGGAACGTTTTCGCACCACGTTTACTCTAATTGATAACTCGCATCCCCAGAGACGCCGTACGGTGCGTACAGAAGAAGTATTGCTACTGTAGAGCGTACCATTGTGGAAGACCCGAATGAGTCCATCCGCCATCGAGCACAGGAATTGGATCTGTGTCCATCCACTTTATGGAAGATTTTGCGGAAGGATCTTGGTTTGCGTACTTCCAAAATCCATCTCGTGCAAGAATTGAAGCCAAATGATCATCAAGCAAGGTGAAGATTCGTTGAATGGGCCCAAAACGAGATTGCCGTTGTTCCCGATTTTCATAAGTGAATTTTGTTTAGCGTTGAAGCGCACTTGAATGGCTACGTCAGTAAACAAAATTGTCGCATTTGGAGTCAAGCTAATCCTCAAGTCTATGTCGAAACACCGTTACATCCAGATAAACTGACTGTTTGGTGCGCTTTATGGGCTGGTGGAATCATTGGTCCGTACTTCTTCAAAAATGATGATTGCCAGAACGTTATGGTGATCGGTATAGAGCCATGATTACTAACTTTTTCATTTCTGAATTGAACAATCACGATGTCCAGGAGCTGTGGTTCCAACAAGAGGGCGCAACATGTCACACAGCTCGTGCTACAATCGATTTATTGAAAGACACGTTTGGTGACCGCCTAATTTCACATTTTGGACCTGTGAATTGGCCTCCAAGATCTTGTGATTTAACACCGCTAGACTATTTTCTGTGGGGCTATGTAAAGTCATTGGTCATTTGGAAGACAACAATCGCCATGTTATTGCCGATATACGGCCACAAATGTTGGAAAAAGTAATCGAAAATTGGACGTCCAGATTGGACTACATCCGAGCCAGTCGTGGCAGTCATATGCCAGAAATCATATTTAAAATGTAATGCCACAAGATTATCTTTCGAATAAAAAAAATGCATGTCAGTCGATTCATTCATGTTTTATTGCAATTTAAAGTTCTATATCTCTAAAAAGACACCCTTTAGAACTTGGCCATCCATCGAAACCGGACGAGAGCTAGGAAGGGTCGGAATGGCTTATTTAGAGTTTTTCGGAATTAATATTTCGGTTATGGTATACGTGTTACTAAGAAAACTAGCTTATTCCCGAATGAAAGTCCCAACATTAAGATCGCTCTGTGTTAAAGGAGATAGTGATGTGGAAGTGATAGGTAGCGGCAGTTTCACTGTGATCACAATCGGTAAAAGGTCCTTATATCACATAATATATTTTCAATGTAAAACTTCACTAACTGCGAAGTATTTTCTAGTTGGAATCAATTAATTTAACTGTTTGATGCATATTTTACTTAAAAAATTCACGCCAATTTTTCTTCGAAAGGGGTCACCTGGTCTAAATTTTCTTACACAGGACAAATCATGAGAAAATTCATATCCTACCCATAAATGCAATGGTTTCAAAGAATTCAGTCCTGTATAAAATATTTTACTTTTTCTTTTGTGTGGAAAATATACTAGGTGACATATAAATCCGAACACCCAGTTTAAATGGTTTTATTTTAATAAAAGTTGGTGAATGTATTTATCTTACTGTAAATAACAAGTGAAAACATTTTCAGCCTTATCAGTTGGACATTCCGGTTTTTATACTGCTTTTTTTTAATTCACTAACGCTCTAAAAATGAATATTTCAGCCGCAGTAAAGAATCAACGTTGGCGGATTTTGGTTCTTGACATCCTTTACGATCGGTTACGATGCCTAGAGTACGGAGACCTGTACGATTTCTTCAACTTAGTGAGTTTGATAGGGGCCGTATAGTGGGACTTCGGGAAGCTGGACTTTCTTTCCGGGCAATTGCAGTTAGAGTGCAAAGACGTGTAGACACTGTGGTTAGGTGTTGTCAGGCATGGCTTCGAGAAGGCCGTACGCAAAGAGCAAAGGGCACTGGACGCCGCCGTAGAACAACAGACCGTGAAGATCGCCGCCTAAGATTATTGGCCTTAAGGGACCGTTTCTCCACTACCAGGTCCATTGCAAATGAATGGTTTGCAGAACACGGAAGACCTATTGGCATGCGAAGTGTTTACCGACGAATGAGAAGTTTTGGCTTGTTTTCATACCGGCCACAGCGGGTCCTCCCTTTAACTCGAGAACACCGACGTAATCGCCTTGAGTGGTGCAGACAACGGTCACTCTGGGATCAGGAATGGAACAGTATTGTCTTTAGTGACGAGTCTCGATTTTGTTTAGGCATGCACGATGGTCGTGCCAGGGTTAGAAGGCGACGTGGTGAAAGGAGCAATCCACAGTTTTGTTGAAAGACAAGTTCATCACACTGTTGGAGTTATGGTTTGGGGTGCTATAGCTTATGGTTCCAGGTCACCTTTAATCTTCATCAGAGATAACATGAACGCGCAGCGTTATATCCACGAAGTTCTAGAACCCCATCTTTTACCCTATCTTGACACCCTGGCAGATCCAACTTTCCAACAAGATAATGCCCGACCACATGTTGCAAGAGTCACAATAGACTTCTTTCAACATAATGATGTCACATTGTTACCATGGCCACCAAGATCTCCCGACTTTCCCCAATTGAGCACGTGTGGGATATGATGGGTAGGAGATTGCTCAATTTGCAACGTCCTCCTCAGACTCTAGAAGCACTTTATGACCCACGTTTATAGAACCTTTTGTGTAATTTTTAGGTGTACATTCTGTACTAGATAGATAAGAGACTAGAGATAAGCTATTATTTGCTGCTTCATTCTCTGATGACTGAGTTGTGTAAGCTATAGTAGTTTTTTTGGTAACGTGCTGTATAAGTTACACATGGTTGGATTGTTAGGCAGCGCTACGTAATGGATTCATGCTGTACATAGCGTTGCTAGGCCGATTATAAATATATTATGAAATTGACCCAAATTGCAGCATTTCATGTAAAATTTTATGGTTTAGCGGTTCAATTCATGTTTCAAGGTCACTCACGGTATTCCCCCAACAGTACATAAATGAACACAACAATTCAATGGCCATCAAGGAACAGCTGATTAGTTACAGTACAGTAAAACATGGTATATCGTATAATCCAAGTTTCCATCTATTACGAAATGTCTATCAGATACTAATAGATTTTAGATCTTTAGAATAGCATTTTGTGACTTTGAATAAGGTGATAACTGTATCTAGATGTTAACTCAAATTTCTTTTATGGTACGCCCTCAATCACAAATGTCTAAAATTATGAAAATTGAACATACAAGCAGGATGCAAATTTTATAGTGTGATTAATAAATACAGAAGAGCAAATTTATGTAAATATAGTCGACAACATATCCTCATGGGCACCACTATCGAACGCCAATAATGTTCACTGTGAATGTCGCGAGTTGAGACTACCCTGTATCGATGAAAGTTGATAATAGACGATTATTAACTCGAGGCATTCTCTCTATGATTCGATTATCATAAGGATTTTTGCGACGAATATACGTGCATGTGCATTAGGAACTGCATGACTTTTATTAGGATTTTAGAGGAGAAAAGAGGGGACACATGAGGAAGCAGTTAAGATTCGTACGATGTTTGAACCGATAACAACAGTGAAACCTTTAATATGATTCGCTCTGATCTGAAAGGCTTGAGGTATGAAAATGAGTGTAACCTATTGTAGAACTGCCTTATTTTAATAACCTTATGACAGAACTAGGTATGAACATGGGCGCCCGCAGGAATGGAGGCGTGCAGGAGGCCGAGCTCCTCTTGAGAATCCGGCTGGACCTTGAATATTTATCATGATTTTGTGTACAATTTTGAGGATTGCCCCCCGCTCGTCAAAATGTTTTGAGGCCAGGTACACCTTCACAAAAATATATCTCTTGCAGGTGATCGCCAGCCCCCCGAGAGAAAATTCCTGCGGGCGCACATGGGTATGAATAAGAATTAATTTGTGCAGTTTAACTTCTTGTTTGTTACCACAAAAAGTATGCATTATTATATTAACGCGTAATGCTACAGATAACGAATCTACATAGCTTTCATTTTACTAAAATGACAAATAGTTTTTACATACCTATACATAGGATTGTCATATAGTTATGCAATTACTCATGCTTCTACGTAAGAATATATCATTCGACGTTATACTGTGTTTAAAGCTAGATGTTTGTATGTTTATTACAAAGTTTATTACTCGGTTGTAGAGCCATTGCGGCAAACGAATACAATGGTTTCAGTTTACGTACGTATTAACTGACAAATCTCACTATAGAACAAATTACAAACATATGTTCCCAATTTGCCTACATAGCGTTTATCATAGAGCATTCGTTGAGCGTTGCAGTAACTTGAAAGAGCGATAACTGCTGTCATATTTTAACTATATAACGATACCATTTCACAGAAAATGCATATTGCGCTTCTGGTACCACGTTTTTCTCAAATAATTTTATATTTTTTCATTTTCTTACTATTTTCATGTGTAATCCCAATGGTCTATATTACTTTCTTTTATTCCAGAGGACACCAACTGTGGTTCCTGCCAACCCCTTCAACCCTCGTGATGACGCGGAGGTCCTCAGGAAGGCCATGAAAGGCTTTGGGACGGACGAAAAAGCCATCATCAATGTGTTGGCCAGAAGAACCAATGCGCAGAGATTGCAGATCGCTGTGGAGTTCAAGACTATGTATGGAAAGGTAATGATTATTCAGATGAGTCTTTACAAAAATCGTAACATGAAGGTACAAAAAGGCGGTAAATGATTATAATACCCTTTGAATGAATTTTTAAAGCCATTATACTACTTTTTACGCATAGACTAAGCGATCTTTCTCACCTAGTCAGAAAGACCCATATATAGTTACAGTAAATCAGAACATAATTTCCTAGGTAGGTCTTGACGGTATATTATTGTTATTAACATCAATCAAATATTGTGTTCAGGTTTCACCATACCTTTTTATTTCCTTATAATTTTCATCCAGCAACAAATTCATGACTAACTAAAGAAATACATCACTGAACTTAGGACTGAAAAATCTATTTAAATGTACAAAATATAGCGTCCATATGAGAAAAAAGTTGGTGTTGGAAGTCGAAACAAAAAATGTCGAATTGAGAATAAGTAACAGTGACAACATGCAAGTTATTTTAAAATCCCATCTCAGTCATGAAAAAATAAAAGTGATTTTGACCTACCTAAAAAATTCTGCTTTTTTGAAATAACTGAGGTTGAACTTTATTTACTGTGCAACAATCCAATATGGCGTCCATAAGAAAAGATAAATGTTGTAGCTGGAGGACAAGAGACGAAACACCAAGGCAACTTTTCCGAACAGTTAGTTAGTCATTTCAGATGCACTTGGACAACGACATCACGTAGCAGCGATTGAATGAATGAATCTTGAAATTAGAGGCATTCCGGCCACCATAAGGAGCCAGTGCATAGGCTGCTTAAGCGGGCCCTTATGCACTTTTACATTCCTTAGATCACAAGCCTCGCCTTTACGAAGTTGAGAATCGCCTTGAGTCCAAGCTCCTTGACATCCTGAGGGTCCAAAGTAATGGACCCAAGTATAGTCTGCCTATAGTAGCTCAGAGCTTCACAGCGACAAAAAACGTGCGCCGAGGTCTCTTCCTCTACTCCGCAGCGGTCACACAACGGATCTTCAGCCACCCCCATCACGTGCAAGTGGCGCCTTAACGTGGTATGGCCAGACAACAGACCCACCAGCAACCTTAGGTTGGCTCTATCCAGAGATAAGCAGAAACGTCCATCCTTAACACTGGGCCCTTCAATGAGTTCCCGTTACTGGCGGAGATGTCTGGAGATACTTCTCCATTTCTGAGAGTGTTGTCTTGCAACCCACGTCTCCATTTCCCTCCTAGCTCTATGCGCGGTCACTCCTAGAGCTGGCTCAGGACCAACGAGCTTGCTGGCTGATCCTGTCTTCGCCAGAGTGTCCGCCGTCTCATTGCCCCTGATCCCAGCGTGCCCGGTACCCACATTAACGATACCAGATGCCTCGCTGCGAGGCAATCCAGAGCCTCCCTGCATTGCAATACAAGACTCGAAGTAATCTTACAGGCACTTAGTGCTTTCATTGCAGCCTGGCTGTCGGATAAGGTTGTTATTCTTCTCCTAGGCCCACCCTCCTCCAGAATGTGAGATACACAAGCCAGAATCGTAAAGATTTCCGCCTGGAAAATAGTGATGTATCCTCCAAGAGGAAGAGATAGCCTAGTTCTAGGCCCAGAGACCCCAGCACCTGAGCCCTCTTCGGTGACCGAGCCGTCCGTGTACCAGACCTGCCCGCTTACTCCGGAGAGTCTCCGGCTACCGGCGTTCCACTCCTCCCTCTTTGGATACTCCACAAGAAACTTGCGGTTAAAGCGATATTTAGGGATAATACGATCACCCCTGCTTAGAAGGACGGGGTCCCCCCTTTGCAATTCGACTAAGATGGCAGGATGCTCCTTGACAGGATTCAAGAAAGCCCAGCTGCCCTGACTGCACAGTCGATGAGCGATAATAAAGGCATACTAGCATTCTTACTTTGACCCGCCAAGAACGGTGACTACAACTATCAACGTAGATTTCCTTTCAGACGCCAACCTACCAGAAAGATTTTTCGCTTTCATTTCTAAGACTTCGGCAATATGGAATTGACAAACTTTCCGGAGTTAGAGGCAATGGTGTCTGCCGGCTTACTGTTCAAGAGGAACTGGAAGTGATTAATTTGGCGTTGGATGACCCTAGGCGGATTGCAGCCCAGTTACCATGTTCCCAAAGTCTAGCGTCGATAATTTTGAATCGGGAAGTTTTACATGCTTACCATCAGCAAAATGTGCAATGTCTGCAACTCGACGACGCGCTGCAACGGCAAAATTTTTGTGAGTGATTATTGCAAATGCATAATCAAAAAGCACATTTTATTGATTTGGTTTTGTGGTCAGATGAATCGCTTTTTACAAGGAGTGGAACCTTTAATTTTCATAATGAACATATTTGGTTATTATAAAATCCCCGTTCTGTGAGAATACACTCGTTTCAACACTGATTTTCTAGAAATGTCTGGTGCGGCATTTTCAATGGCCAACTGTTTATGCACGTATTGTCACAACGTTTAAATGCAAACTCATACTTAGCTTTTTTTAAAGAATTACATAGAAAATGTGTTAGATGATGTTCCGTTAGCAATGACAGATATATCATATCCACATGGTTAAATAATCATTTTAGACAATGATGCATTGGCAGAAACAGACACGCACATTGGCCTGCCAGGCCTCCTGATTTGAATCTCCTGGATTTCTTTTTGTGGTGCGCTTTCAAACAACTAGTGTATGCTGAACAACTTAATACTGTTGATCAGTTACAAGAAAGAATAGATAATGCGTCCAAATTCAAGCAACAACAAATTTTGCGGGAATACGTTTTTCTTTATTAAAAAGATGCCGCACTTGTATCCGTCAGAATGGTGGTCTTTGTGAACATTATTAAAATAAAGTTTTGATTATCTAATTTGTTTTTAAGAAAACAATGCACCCTAGGAAAGAAACACAAGGGTAATTATTTATAGCAAATTGAAGGAAAAATTGCGCGTTTTGACAAAAACAGAGGCGCACTACTTTATTTGGAAAAATAATGCCAGTTGTCCCCTGTATCTCCGCCACTGGTACACGTTAATTTCAAGTAAAGACTTTTGAATGTGGACAGTACTTAGGGAAATCCACATATCAAATTTTAGTTCATTCCAGTTAACGGTTTTTATTTTTAAACTTCAACATCCCTTATCTTTTTAATAAACACCCTCGAGGAAAAATGTTACATAGAAGACCCTCCTTGCAATGCGGTCCTATGTATGGTGTTTCATTTTTGGTCACGACTTGTGAATCACCCTGTATAAGCCAAAGGCATCATACGTAACATAATCTCATAAGGTTTCAAACTGAAATTGAATCGAATTGCTTTGCATCTCAGCATTTTATAACAAATGCTTACCGAAAGGGAACTTTCGAATAATGTTTCTGATAAACTACTTGCTCTGGATAAATTTCAGTTTTTTGAACCGCCCTATATCCTTCCAGGACCTAATCAAAGACCTGAAGAGTGAACTGAGCGGTAACTTTGAAAATCTAATCGTTGCCATGATGACCCCTCTGCCAGAGTACTACGCGAAAGAACTTCACGATGCAATGAGCGGTATTGGTACCGACGAGGATGTCTTGATCGAGCTTCTGTGTACCATGTCTAACCAGGAGATCAGAACCATCAGACAGGCGTACGAAGCAAGTAAGTTTAGCGATGATGTTGATATGCTATGCTAGATGGAGATATTGCTAATGGTAGATACACTAGAACTGTTTCTAAAACCAATTTTTCTGTTTTCGGAAGTAGCATGCTGACATATTTCGGAATTTAAAACTTCCAATAAATGCTGAATGTTTGTGGGAAATAATATCGTTTTGAGATTTTGTTTTCATAAGTATTGGTTTTTATAGGGTGGGCCATCAGTCAAAAAGGGTTTTTAATTATTTACAGCTTAAGAAAGAACACACAGGAGTTTCTGTACAGTAACTACGTAAGAATATACTTGAATCTGTTCCATTCTCATACTGATGACGTTTTTATACTAGAGGGCAATGTGAGGATGTTCTCCATGAATAGCTTTTGGCTCGACTATTGTTTTTGTTAAGTCAGATCCACAAATTTGCAGATTACAGCATTGTATATGAATGCAATCGGAGTGCGATTGAGCTGGATAGAAGACGGTAGTCATTTCATTTTTTACGACGGATCTGGAGGCTACCTGGGCTTCGCGAATTTAGTGCAGTTTAATGTCTCAAAAATTGTACTGAATAAACTTATTTAAACACTAACTAGTTATCTAAATTACAACGCAATACTTAACTAAACTATACTATCGAGTTATGTGGAGTTGCCCGTTCTGCTTTACCAGACGTAATTTTCTTCGAATTTCTCTCATGAGGTCCTGGACGGAATTCAGACAAATTTCTCTCACTTTTTCGTGAATTTGCTATCGTAATTGTTCTTCCTCTTGGACTTCCCAGCCTTCCTAGACAGTAAAGCCCAAAAATCTTCTATTGGGCGAGCCTGCGGCATGATGTTAGGTCTGTCCAAAACATGACATAGTCATTAGCATGATGTTCGTGGACAAACTCAAGCAATTTGGAAAGGCATTTATCAATATAGCTGTGTCTATTCAAATATCCTATTTTATCTGCAAATTTCGCTTTATGTTTGTACCTAACATTGTCAGGCCATTCCTCTACGTTGTCTGTATAAAATCTGTCGTTTCCCTTCATTTCAGAATTACTCAAAGTGAACTACTTTTCATCTAAAATAATGATTTTTCCATACCGCCTCAGTTGACGACAGCATCTTGGTATTCGAAGGAGTTGCGCTTGAGATTTTTTGGAGCACTTGAGTCTCTTTCGATATTTAAGGCCATTCCTCCTCAATTCCAATGATATCGTACTCTTAGAAAATCTGTATTGACGAGCCAGTCTCCTTGTTCATACTCCAACCTGATGTTTTGCTCTTCTCACCAATCTTAAGATTTAAAAGCCAATGAATTTTGTGCCAAAACTTTTGAGACATACATTATTAAAAAATGTCAAAATCAAAAAAATTAAATCTAATTCATTTCTTTCCCAGCTGATTCAGTGTGAAAAGAATATATAACATCAAACAAATATAATATGCTAGGTTTGAAATCAAGTTATATTCAAAATCAAAGCCTTCTAACTGAAATGCATCTGAGACTTATGGTTCACCCTGTATTCCTTACAGTCGCTTAATGCAACGCGTATTTCTCAAAATTACTTGTGTGTGACGTGAAACTGAGTGCAGTGCTCAAAATTTAAGTGACTATAGTGACACCTAACGAAAAGCTAAGCTACTAAAAGTAAGTTGTTTCAATAATTTCAACTTCACGCTTCTTATACGCCTCAATGAATATATATTTTTTGCAAAGCACCAAAATCGAAGAGAGTAGCATACTTCATGGTATCTGAGTGAACACAAAGTCGTTAAGAAGTGTTAACAATGCGTACGATACGTTACGCTACCCTCTTCTATTTCGGTACTTCACTATTACAGTAAATCATTCTACTTGAGCTTTCCTTTATTTTCCAGTGTACCACAGACCTCTAGAAAGCGACCTCAAAGGCGACACTGCAGGTACATTCAAGCGTCTCATGGTGTCCCTTTGCAATGCTTGTAGAGACGAAAGTATGGCAGTGAACCAAGAAGCTGCTAGGAAAGATGCTCAGTCTCTTCTGAGAGCTGGAGAATTAAAACTTGGAACGGACGAGTCGACCTTCAATATGATACTGTGCCAGAGAAACTATGCTCAGCTACAGCTTATCTTTCAGGTAAGAAAATATCTTTTGGTGAGGATGAAGTCCATCAAAACGTATGTACCGCTTCTTGCAACGCGGATAATTTTATGCAAGTTGTTTTGTATTAAGTAGATCGGAACATTTCGGTATACAATCAGAACGAAGCAATTTTGAATGAATATTTGGTGACACGCTACTGAATTTCAACAGACTCACTATTTGCCAACAGTACATCACAAGGCGACTCTTAAATAGACGTTTAATTAGTTAGCCATGTGCATTAACAATGTGCTGAATTGACATGCCAAATTTGGTAGACATCACTTGAAGCTTTTTCTACTTTCAGGAGTATCAACGCCTTATCGGTCACGACATTGAAGAAGCCATCAAAAACGAATTTTCTGGTGATTGCGAAGAGGGTTTCCTGGCTGTTATCAGATCTATCAAAAACCAACCATTATTCTTTGCAAGAAGACTTCACAAGAGTATGAAAGGGATGGGTACGAATGATCAACAGTTGGTCAGAATAGTGGTCACTAGATGCGAAGTTGATATGGTCCAGATCAAACAGGAGTACCAGGCGAAATATGGAGAATCTTTGGCGGAAGCCATCAAGGTACGTTTGGTTTAGTCAGGATAAAGAATTATTAGCATTCGTCGGAAGAAAGGTTGGATACAACTGTTTCATCCTTTTCCGCTAGAAATGTGAGACTTGGAACATTTTTTTGTGGCATACGCGCATAATGACGTTATTCTAAGGTCATTTGTTGCGTACAGTGGCTTATATAGAACTTCACTTCGGAGGAGTTTCGGAGGGGGAGGGGAGGAAGAGAGGTTGAAATACAAAACAAAATGCAAACGTCTAAAAACCGACATTTGAAATATAATGAGGAAAAAAATATGCAGTGCAAGCACAAATGGAAGAAATTATGACAAATATGCCTGCAAGTATATAGTCGTAGAAGCTGAAAAATCTTAATAGTATACTTATATACTACGTATATAATATTATAACACAACAGCTTATAAGTGGTAGAAATATCCTCTTTCTAGATGGTAAAACGATCCCAATACTTTACTTCTACAGTGTGGCCGATATGTAACTGACTGGTTTGTATCTTGAATATTTGTGAAATGAAATAAGATACGTCCATTTTTGACATCCTAATATTTTACTGAAACTTAGAAATTACGTATGAAAAATAATATCAGACAAATGTCTGCGTCTAGAAGCCGAGCAAACCGGAGACCTCTTGAATACATTTCCATTACTTCTTGACAGGTCTCTGGAGGAATATTTTCAATCGTTTCCGTAATATTGTTCTTCAGCTGCTCTACAGTAGTTGGTTTGTTGGCATAAACTACTTTTCAAAAATCCCCATAAAAAATTCAGGAACCGTTAAATCCGGTGACCTTGGTGGCCTGTTGACACCACCAAATCAAGAAATTAAACGTCCCGGAAATATTGTTCTCAAGATTTATTGTTTCCATAGCAGTGTGATAAGTTGCTCCGTCCTGCTGGAAACACATGGTTTGTAGGTTAAATTGTTAAATTTGAGCGGCCACCATATCACGGTAGCGCTCGCCAGTGACAGTAAGTTAATTACGTGCAGCGTCTTCAAAGGAGTAAGGTCCAATGATACCTCCATATCAAACACCGCACCAAACTGTGACTCGACTAGGATGTAGTGGTGGTTGATGAATGACACGAGGGTTATCTAATGCCCAGATACGACAATTCTCCTAATTAACAAATCCATTCATATCGAAGTGGGCTTCATCGCTCATTATCAGTTGTCGGTAAAAATCGTTATTTTGGGTATTTAGTTGCAATATAGCATGACTGTATTGTCGCCGACTTTCATGGACACTGGGCTGTAGCTCTTGGGTTAACTGAATTTTGTATGGCCGCAAATGAAAGTCTTTTTTTTAATATTCCATAATGCCGTGCGGCCAATACCCAGTTCGTGAGAACGATGTCTGGTAGATGCCTCAGGGCGCTCCACTACACTTTCACGAACTCTCTCGATATTTTCCGGAGTACGAACAGTTCGAACACTGCCCGACCTTGGCAAGTCTTTAACTTCACCTGTTTGTTCAAATTTCCGCACCAACTGACGAATGGTGTTGACACTGGACACATTATTTCGACCGAAATCTTGTCATAGCTGCCGAATCGTTGCAACAATCAACTCACTATTTAAGTAAAACGTTTTAACAATACGGACGCGTTGTGGGATCGTGTAGCGCTCCATGATAAATTGGACACATGTCCTTTAAACAACTATTACGGCGCCACCTACTGAAATGCGTGTATCAAAAATGGCGCGCAATTTAAATCAGTCAGTTAATATTGGCCACCCTGTATTTTGATGGTAATACCGTATCTGCTGATTCTCAATGAGGGAGTTAAACAAGGAGCATGAAGGCAAGAAAATGTTCCCCAGCTAGGGACTATAAAACTGCGTTTTTATAATAAAATTTTGAGTGGACATAGGTAAAAAATTATGGGATTGATAAGTTTGACTTTCATGACTATTATTATATTCGTACTACTATAAAAACTGACATTTTACCTCCGAAAAACAGGCAACCAGAATTCTACGATTTTTTCAATATTTTTGAAGCGATGGGACTCAAACAATGTCATTACAAAATGAAAATTAATGTGTATCTCTCAATACGTTGCTGAATTACTATTAAAACTCTCAAAATAGAATTAAAACTGGCTATGGCCAGCACCTACGAAAAAATCATACACATAATATCTTCATGAGTTTCCAGTTCATTTTTATAACTAATCGCAAGGCTTAAAAAAGATACAAACCACACCGAGCTTCTGAGCTCGCCGCTAGGATTATTTTTTGGACTCAACATCCCAGTTAAGCACCCTGTATAATATATTATGTACAGGGAAATTAGCTGGGCATTAGTAGCTGGACAATATCTGGAAAGCCTGTTACGATCTGGGAATGTTATTTATATATAACATCTTTATCTAAGCAATTACGATAATGACCAAGAAGGACAGGGCAACGTTTCTATAAGGACAGTAGTGTGGAGAATATTATGACATTCGCAGTTACAAAGAAACATGAAAAAGAAACACCCAAACAAAACAAATATCAAGACCTGAAACCTGGAGTTAACATCAAAGTGTTTGCTCTCTAAATCCCAACAATGCTATTATTACAATACTCAATGATTAAAAACGAACTGTTGTCGTCGCGTTCAGTTTCTATGATGACATTAACGTTTTGAATGAATTAGCTGCATACTCCTTCGGATTTCATGCAGATTTGAATAGTAACATAATATTATATTCGGGTATTAATATCATCTTCTGGCGCTTTCGTATTATATTTTTAATAACATTGCCCAACTTAGTGGACCAGCTAGTATAGTTATTACCCGTTTTCTCGTGTTTGTCTTATTTTGCATTCTTTAAGGGAGACTCAACTGTGTAACTCTATTTTTTTTTCTTTCAGAGTGACTGTTCTGGCGACTACAAGAAATGCCTACTGGCTCTTATTGGAGAATCATATTAATGATTTATTAAGTTCCAGTGTATTATATTTGTTTTTATGTATTTTCTAATGTCCATTTTAGTTGTACATAGTCCAGTCAACCGTTTAAATATACATCACTATTTTAAATACCATTTTACATTACGTGTTGATATTTTTATTTTATTAGTTTTCTATTGTATTATTTTCTGTAGATTATGTATAAGTATTTCATTGAGATATATAAATCGAATGGCTAAACTCCCCATGACAAATTACATTATTTAATTTATATATTAATCTCATAATTAGTCAACATTCTAATATTGTCAAATACTTTCAAAGTCTTTATAAGGGAATAATACAAATATCATTCCTACTTTCTTATAATCACTATTTTATGTATAACGTTTACTCGTAGGTTTGTATCTTATTATGTGTAGGTACCTTACACTTCCTTGTTTGATCAACAATTCCATTTGCTATAATTGAACCCATGCAGATCTGAATCCGACATAAACATCTTAACTATCTAGTTATATGTAATTTATAAGAAACCTATGAGTCAAACTGTAAGTTGTGCCTATGAATGTATCTACTCGTAATGCCATATCTTGGCCATAATGGTGTTTCTTTTTAAATAAATTGTGTTCTACACAACTATGTGCTGTGTTTTGCATGGGTTAGGAAAATACATATGCACCTTAAAAAGCGTAATAATTATGTGTGTGTGAATTTTCAGTTTCTGCTAAGATCGAGAAGTGAAGCGAAAATAATTTCTAAAAACCTTAGACGTTCCTGATTTAAGAACCCAGTGACAAAAATGGCCTATCATCATAAATTTAATTAAGATCAGATACTTAATCTCCAATTCCCTGGTAACAAAAATTGCGGGCGCACGCTTTTTTCTGCTCCATATTCCAAAAGGCACCAATAATATTTTACTTCACATGCCTACTGACTCGAAAAATTATGAAAATGAGACACTATGTGTTTTTGGATGTTATATGATATGTACATCACGAAAAACCATGTCTTTCATTTCCGTCGGTCTGTCTGTCAGTTTGTCTGTCTGTCCACTAATCCTTGGCCCGTCTATAACTTTAAAAGCACCGCTCAAATTTGGATGAAATTTCAACGCAAAGTTACTACTGTACCGTGGAGGAATACGCTTTGTTGATTTTAAAAATCGGTGCAGTGGCAGCGAAGAAAAAAGTCAAAAAGGAAAAAGTAAAAACCGCGCAAACTTCATTTTTTATATTTTAGAGAGTCCTTATCATTTTCATAAACATTTTTGCATGGATTAAAAATTTGCGATTACGGGTTGCAGGCGATAAGAGGGTATATCTCAATTTTTCAAGGATGATGAATTTATACTCTTGCAACCCCGGTAAGGCTACGCACCTGTTAGATATATTTAACTCATCAAATCTATGATGATCTTATAACTTCATAACACCAACAGTCGCGTGTCGGTAGTGCACCATGGTCCAGCCGATGGTCGTGCGTCGCAGTCTGCCCTCGGTTCCGTACTGCTGCGCGATGTATGCCAAGAGATAACTCTGAGAGAAACCGTACCTGCCTCAAAAAATTTTGGAGAGCGGGGCTAGGATAATTTTACAGGGGAGGGGCAAATCGTAAAAAGCCCCAAAATTATACACAAAAGCATGCTAAATATGCAAATTTTAATTGTATGAGCCTGTTTGACTAACTTGATCCATTCAATTTTTTGTTATATATGTTCGTACCTAACTTTTTTCTCAGAAGGGCTAACTGCTTGTGCCAAACATAATCCTTTATCAACTGATAACAGCGTTGCGTGGGAAGTATATGTGTAGAGTCAACCCACTTGACGCCATTTTTTTTTTTTAATTTAAAAAGGAATTAATTTTTAGTAGATTTAGGCAAAATAGGGGCCTGCATGAAAAAGTCGAACATAGAATCTTGACGTTTGAGAAAACATACTGATGAGGCTAATGGTGGACTTGGGCAATTAACCAGCCTGTATGTACGCATAACCGCAATCTAATTTGGCTTCTAAGAAGGTGTGTTGTCGGTTTTACTAATACAGTTCGCTTCAAAGCTCCTCCCTCATCACCTTCATCAACCAAAGGTATTTTTCTAGTGTACCACAGACCATTGGAGAGTGACATCAAAGGAGATACAAGTGGAACCTTTAAACGTCTGATGGTCTCCCTTTGCAATGCTTGTCGAGACGAAAGCATGGCGGTTAACCCAGAAGCTGCAAAAAGAGACGCTCAGGCACTCCTAAGAGCTGGTGAACTACGTCTTGGTACTGACGAATCCACTTTCAACATGGTACTATGCCAGAGGAACTACGCCCATCTACAGCTAGTCTTTCAGGAATACCATAATATCACCGGGCATGATATTGAGAAAGCTATCAAGAACGAGTTTTCTGGAGATTGTGAACAAGGTTTTCTAGCTGTGATCAGATCAATCAAGAATCAACCGCAGTTCTTTGCAAGGATGTTGAACAAGAGCATGAAAGGTCTTGGGACGAATGATAGACAATTGATAAGGCTGGTGGTGACGAGATGCGAAGTGGATATGGTTGAGATTAAAAGAGAGTACCAAGCTATGTTTGGTGAGTCGCTGGCTGATGCTATCAAGGTAAGTGACAAATCTAGAACATCAGTATAATAGGTGCAAAGCATTTTAGGCGGCAAAAAACGTCTCTAACGCAAACAGTGGCAACTGTGTTAGCCCTAAAACAGAACAACCCGTAAAACGTTCTCGACTACAAGTCTGAACCCACTGACTGTCTCAAAAATATGACAATCCATCAGAAATTTCAACTTGTTTCATGGTAGAATCCCCTTCATCTGAAGTCTTTAAAATCAAAAGCAATATCCGAACTCTAATAAAAGCATGCTTTGCAAACAATTTGTTAAAAATCAAGTCTGTGACTTCGGAAAGTGCTGGCATGAAACCATCCGAAACTTGTTGTTGTTTAAGATTCATTTAGCATGATTGCTACAATTACATTCTTCTAAAAAATTAAACAATTACATAACATACAGATATGTAGAAAAAAACTAAATTTGCATCTCTAAGAATTTTCACTGTCTATGAAATACTCCTTTAATTTTTTTTAACATCTTTAAATTACAAGTAGACTTTATATCATTATTTAGTTTATTTTAGTGTACTTCCTGTAGTTTCTAATAAGAAATTCTTCCGAATTATAGGTTACTTGAATGCATTATTTAATTCTCTATTATTTGTGTTAATCACACTGCATCTAATGTACGAATTGGATAATTTGGGGATCAATTCATCATACATACAGAGATATGTTATAGCAAAATAAACTCATTCCTTTTTTGTAGCGTATAGTTCTCTATACCAATAATTTTGTTATTTGTTGATTCTAGGGTGACTGTTCTGGAGACTACAAGAAATGCTTACTGGCCCTGATTGGCGAATCTCACAAGTAATATTTATTTTGCAATTAAAATGAAGAATCTCTCAACTATGACTTAAAGTTTGCACTTTTATAATGTTTTATGTTTCGTTGACGTATATCAAATGTTTTTAAATGTCTATGTTTAATTTATTGTTTTAACTCATTGATGTAGTAGTTACGATATCCCATGTTATTCTAAGCATTCCATACATAAGATTTTTTACTGAATGAAGTTGCCATGTATTTTATTTAAATGCATTTTTGATTGATGGCTGGAAATATGAACACAAATATGCAAGATACACAAAGTTCGCAATAGCTGTATTAATATATTTTTTATTTTATCAAGCTGTACTAAAGTACATTTGTACTTAAAGAGCCATATTTTCTATATATTATTGTGAGTAACGTTCCATGTTTTATATAGTATTTATGAATAAATGTTTTTTGTCGACTTGCTACGTTTATGTCCCCCCTTGGTTTCAGATTTTAAGATGTTTATAGTAAATATTCAGCTGTACAAATAATAGGAAGGGTGTTTTTATATCAACAATGGTTAACAAAAAAAAAGCTAACAGACAGATAGATAGACATCAAGCGATCAGCTAAATGCAGTGTAAAAGTTGTTTAGGACAGCTCAATAATAAAATGTCTACATGTTAAACGGAATTTTTTATGCTCTGCAAAAAACTCGCGCATCTCTATGGGCTGAAAGAAGGAATTGGTCAAATTACCCAACTAATACATGCTACAGTAAACATAATCACTTGCTATGCATGTTCTAAGAATGCCATCTAATAGCAAAATCATGAGCGGAAATAACAAACCGCACATCAATAGAATATATTACAAACCCCTATTAGGAGCCGATATTACACTTTCGCATTAGATGATTTGACATAGTCCTATAGCATATCCAATAAAAACACGATCTAAGAATGTGCTCTTCAAGATCTTCACCCGTTCTAAGGATAAGGATATCAGTGATTTGGGAAAGTATTCACAGAGAGCGCACATGCATCTAGTGGTTGTCTATTAGATATTCACGATTTGAATCTCCAGATGCCTGATCCACGAATCTGTATATTACAATACTGATGTTATGCATTTAAAGGGATATTCACTAAATATTCGTGAAGTATCCACTGGTTCATCACTGAAACATCTAATGCCTGATTCAGGTATATCAGATGATCACACCATAGGCACGCGAAACTGTCAAGTCCAATTTCAAAACGAAGAAAGATAACTAAAAACCTAACAAAGCAGATTAACCATGTATTATACTTTGAAGTTGAGTCATTAATTTTCAGATAATGATTGTAGAAGGAAGATAAACCAAAATATGTGTGTAAAAATAAAAAAAAAATTAAAAAAAATTTGTTACCTTGTTTTATAAAGTATCCTCCCGACAAGTATTTCAGTGCGGACCTGTATTTGATCGTGAGGTCCCCTGTGAGGTCTTAAGTCACCTGATTCACGAGCCCGTTGTACTACATTAACAAAGGCACGAGGGGTTGGTTGCACTCGATTGGGAAACCGATCCGCATAAACATGTGCCATTTTTTATTTCGTTTCAGCCACGCAACAGACACTATTCACACGCGACTGACACTGACTGTATGTATAACTGAACTGAATAACATAATTGTAAAAACATCGTTCCAAATTCCTTCGCTTTTTTGTTTCCGATGCGATGAACCGATAAGGCGGATTATATCCGTTGTTGCCAAACACGAGCACATGATATTATTGAGACAGGGCGGTACTCAAACTTCCAAAGGGCTATAACTTTGTTACTTTAATTTTACCAGAAAAATGGTAAAGGAAAAAACATTTCTTTTAATCAGATCTACTCACTGTTAAAATAAATGACTCAACTTCGAAGTCACCCTGTATATTATGTATGGATTAATGTAAAGTCTAGTGCCCCTTCTATCGTACTCTAAATGTTTATTACATATTATTTTCCTTGTTCTATAGATATACTTCCAACCTCTATAAATTAAATTTTCTATTAGGCGATCTTTTTTTTTACCTTTTTCCATAAACAATGTGTACCACTTGGAGACCCACAAGATGTACGCTATGTTAGATACGCACGGACATGGAATAAAACAAAATGGAAGCCGGTACGGCGGTCGGCTTGCTATTATGTCATTGGTTGCTCAGACACACGCACTTGCGCGATAGGTTGAACAAATTCGCCTGATGGATTCTGGTGGAATGTTCTTAACACGTAACCAGGAATATCCCTTTTTAATTACTATCTGATGCAACATTACTGACACGTTACAAGATTTTTTATCGGCATGTCCTAAAAATGAATATTCTTAACACAGGAGCTAATGGATATCCTTATATGAATACCCGTATGCTACGAACAATTGCGTTCCGAAAGTTCTTAAATCACATATTCTTAGGAAGTTCATACGGTGAATAGGCATTAAGGAGGTAAAAAATATGCGCTGAGAGCATGCCTTATTAGTATATCTTCATTAGGATCTAAAACGTACATTCCACGAATGTGAATATACTTTTTCATCTTTACTGGCAGTAGATCTAAATTACTTCAAATATTGTAAGCATAGTTTTGACGTGTCGTACGCGCGACCAAATCCAAAACACACAAATAAACTGGGTACATAAAAAACCACAGTAGTCCTGGAGACAGATGGACGGAAGGCAAATAAGTGGGTATGGGCGTATGAAAAACTCAAAATACCGTGCTGAGGTGGACGAAAAAACCTGACGATCTACGGAGACGGGAAAAGCACATGTCCATTTCAATCGTTTCTATTTATGTATATACGAGGGGGTAGCCAAAAAAAAACGGAATTATTTTTCATAAGCTATTTATTTTCAACTTTTTCACAAAGTAACCTTATCTCCTTCAAAATACTGTCCACTACAACTAATACACTTGCCCCACCGGTACTTTTACTGCTCGAAACATTTTTTGAAGTGTTCCTTAGACATGTCTGACAGCTACTCCCTCGTTTTTCTCTTGACCTTATCAATGTCGTCAAAGCGGCGTCCTTCCATGCCCCTTTTCATCCGTGGAAATAATAAAAAGTTTCCCGGAGCTAGCCAGAAACTGTCGAACAGAGATGGCTGTGTGCGCAGGTGCATTATCGTGATGAAAGAACCAGTCTTCTGAGTGCTACAAATCGGTTTTTTGTCGAAAACTGTTTCGCAATAATCTTAAAACCTCCAAATAGCACAAGCTCTCGAATTTTTTAAACATTTTCGTCGATTCGGGCAGTTGATGCACGTCCAGAGCGAGGTTTGTCATCAATCGATATGTCGCCATTTTTAAATCGAGCAAACCACCCGTACACCTGAGTTTTTCCCATGACATCATCTTTGAAATATAAAGCAACATTTCACAGCTGCACGTTGCTCACTGAAGCTAGCCGTCGTAAAAAGCGATACAAGCACGAAACAACTCTAGCAAAAATAATGACTGCAGGGGAACGAAACAAGCCAGATCGACAACTCAGGTGGCACTGAACTGGTAATGAGTTGTGCTGTACGCCTCTAGGGACACAGACGTGTGCTACACAAGCTCCGCCTACTGCAATGCTATTCCGGTTATTTTTGAGTACCTCCTCATATATCTAGAAAGGCATTGTTGATCTGCTGTGTGAATAGTTGGTATTGCGGCTGCTGGACGGGTCGATCGTTTTGATTGTGCGACATCTAGCAATTTCAATTTTTTCGGATTCGTGTGATAAATTAGCAGGTGTTAAAAATGACTTTGATTAAATTGGACTCTATAT